AGATTAGGAGATTTTCCGGAAGAAGGTGCCAGTTACCGGATTTGGTGATGGCCATGGTTCTCTGTAACTATCGAAGACTTGTTTGGTTTGAGAACATAATGCGGGCAGATTAAAGAAGGGGCGTGCTTATATTAGGAAACATCTTCTTCCTAATATGTTGTATGTGCCAGTTAGCGGATTTGGTGCTGGCCATGGTTCTCTGTAACTAACGAAGACGTGTTTGGTTTGAGAACATAATGCGGGCAAATTAAAGAAGGGGCGTGCTTATATTAGGAAAGATCTTCTTCCTAATATATTATATGTGTTCGTTATTCCTATTTTTCAGAGAAAAAAAATTCAGGTAATGTGATTCCATGGAATCCATCTTTGGGTTTCCGATTTTAGGATTTTTCATATAATATTGGCAGAAGCTAAGCTAGACGTATATTTTAATAGAAAATTTGTATATATATATATAAATTATTGGATTATTTTAAGTATATATATATATGTTTCATGACCAAGCATTCTTACTGATAATTATGGTTCATTCGGTTTGGATTTTGGTCAATGGTTGAAGATTGTGATCAATAAAAGCTTATAAATTCTCAATTATTTGTTTTTTACTAATAAGTAAGAATGCTTGGTCATGAAGTTTCAAGTATTATCAGCTTTCTTTCATATAAACTCATACAATTCATTCTCATTTAAAACTCATACAATACTCATACAATTCATTCTCATTTTATGTTATTAGTTCAGCATTTGACCACATTGGATTATATACGCCTTCACTTTCTTCAATAACTGTTGAGAATTTAAGGGATTATATAAACCATTCTTCTTTTTAAGAGATTCACACATGAATGTTTATATTTTTTTTATTTTCATTTTATTTTGTTTCTATTTATAATTAAATGAGTATATTTAAATGTAATACTTGTTTTTTAAAAAAATTATTTTGTTATATCTTAACATATTTTGCTGAACTTTTGTAATCTTTAATTAGTTCAAACATGCCAATGTTTAAAGAAGGAGGTCCGTCAGCAATGTGGGATAAGGAAGTTACAAATATTTTTTTTTGATCTTTGCATTAAAGAGATTGAGACCGGTAATAGACCTACCACGTACTTTAACAAGGAGGGCTGACAAAACATTTTTAAGAGGTTCAAGGAATTGACTGGAAGGGAGTATGATAAACAAAAATTCATAATGCAATTGGGGTTGGGATCCCATTAAACGTATCATTGATGCTTCAGAGGAATGATAGACAGAGAAATTAGAGATAATAGTAATGCACTAACATAAATTTTTGCTCATTATGATTTCTGTTTTGTTGTGACTAATAAGACCTCCCCCTTTCGCTACCACGTTGCAGCCAGTACCAGCTGCAAAAAAAATTTAGGGTGTGCGGTATTAACCCGGACGTAAAAGATAACTTGATGCAATGTTTAGGGGGGTAGTCCCTACAGGTCAACATGCATTCAACCAAAGTGAGCAGGGGTTTGCTGACATCTCATTAGACTTGCCACCCAAGCAGGTTATGAGTTCTGGTGAGAGTTCTAGCATAAATCCGATGGAGCTTGAGTCAACGTGCCGCTCAAAGAGGCTCAGGTTGGAGAAAATGAGGAAAGACAAAGATGTTTTTGTAAAGAGCTCAATAGATAGATTGATAGAAGTGTTTGCAGCTTCGCCCCCTCCTCCTGCAGTTGACCCCACGATTGATGACTTTATGGTTTTATTAGACGGGGTTCCATAAATTGTGGCTGATCCAGATTTTTATTTAAAATGTATTAAATTGCTCGAGGACCCGACCCGCAGACAAAAATTCAAGAGGCCGTGTGCCGAATATTTACATGTTTTGATGGAGAAATGAGTGTCTTATGTGTTGCCTTTACTACTTTCAGCTTTAGGGTCTAGTTTGTTATCCTTTATTTTCAAGACATTGATTTCTAAAAAATGATATTGTAATATTTGTTGTATTTTAGTTGTTCATTTGCATAGTTTATCGTCTTTAATCTTTTACATTTGACAAAGTTTATTTTTTTAATTTTAGGTTACGAAGTAGTTTATCCATTGCATGTAACCCTAACTAATCAGTTGTCCAGTATGGATCAACAGCGAGAACGCCACAGAAAAATGGCTATGGTTGTAGCGATTATTATATTACTGTTAGAATACTACCGTTTTGTCCCTATTAGAACACTTCGCATGACGTCATTCTTTATTGGGGATAAATGGGTGGGCGAGATGCTCGTTGCACACCCAAAAACGTTCAACAACATATTTCGCATGACTATGCCCACTTTTTTGGATCTCCTTCACTAGCTACATATCAATCACAACCTCTGATATTCTTTTCGAACTACTATAAAGGAGGTGTTGGCAATTACGTTGTACATTCTATCTCAGAACGAATCAATCATGGGAGCGATGGGGCAATTACAACATTCCTAAGAGATAATAAGCAGTTACTTCTCTGAAGGTCTAAGAGCACTAGTTAGCTTAGCATCAAACATAATTAAGCAAGAAGATCAACATTCGACACAACTTCTGAAAAAATTGCCAACGGCCCGCATTACATGTCATTTTTCTTGGTGAGTGTTGTTATTGTATTATGTTTATTTCAGAATGTTTCTATTGTGTTGGGATTGACATTGTCAAGTGCCTCTAAACAGAACTGTATTGAGGCAATTGACGGTACACACGTTGATGTCTGACTCCCCAGCCATGAGAAAGTGGCTTACATTGGCTGTTGTGGGTCACCAACTCAGAATGTGATGGCTGTATGGAGTCCCATGAATTTGACGCCCAGGATGGCGAAGGTGCAGTGGAGATGGCTTCTTTGAGTGAGCGTATCACAGATGCTATATGTGAACGCTGATTGACCCCGTCTAATTTATTTTGCATACTTTATGTACCATTCTTCTAACAAGCATGAGGTGTGCACCTCATTGATGTAATTTTTTTTTTTCTGTAAACAGTGAGAAGGCTTTCTTTTAAAAAGATATCCCACTTTATCATTAGTTTTTGGCATAGAGAATTTGTTTCTTTCTTAAATATTTGTAAAGTTATGAATCATGTTGATGTGGATTGCATTCTCTAACCTTGCAATTAATCTATTAAATTCTCTATTTGGTACATCTACTGCTATCTCTATCTTCAAGATTCCTTTTAATAAAACTGTCAAGGACAGTGTTGCATGGTGATAGATTGAAGCATTCTTTTCATATGCAATTATATTTGTGCTCATGCTTGCCCGCCTTATGTTATCAGGCAACACAAGCCACAAGAATGATTTGTTATGAGTATGATTATGACTTCAGTCTCTCTTGGGTTGTATTTGATGAAATAATTTTGAGGAAGTAATTTGAGATGCCGAGTGTAAAAGCTATAGAGATTGGATCATTTGCCTTGGTTTCTTGTTGACAAAAATAGTCTGATCTATAATGTATTTGAAATCTATAGGGTTTACTTTGCTGATCTTTTAGTTATGCTGGTATAGTATATGATGGTAAAGATGCTCACATAGAAAGGTATTTTGATATTGATGGTTCTGGTGGTTGTGATGAGAGCAAATGTTGGTTTTATGAATTCCTTTGTTTGGAGGAAATTTAAAATGAGATGCTCTACTGGTTTAGAAAACATATCTTTGAATCTCTATTTGTATTTATTCTCTTTGTTTGGAGAGTGTGGCTTATTTCTGTTAATTATTAAACTCAAGCTGAGAAGCAAGTAGTAGTAGGAGGAAGAAAAGCAGAGGAGAAGTTAATAATCGATCAATTTCACAGCTTCACTTTGATAGCCGATAATTTTATGTAGAACATTAACTAATGAATCATTACAGCAGCAGAGAGGTGTAAGAAGAAGAAAAATTATAATGGAATTTTTCATGCAGTAAACCAAGTACTCTTTCTGCCCCTTCACTGAGTTTATATTCTGATTAGATAGAAGCAAGAAGAAAATTTAAGAAGTTTTCTAGTGTATTTGCTATGCGGTATTAAATATTTGAGTGCTATGTGTGTAAATATTGTAGTTTAGATGTGAGAAATGTAAGTACATTAGAATTGCGTGCTATGTAAATGTTGCTTTATTTAAAAGAAGTTTACTAGTGTATATGTTGTTTGCACTCATCTTAACACTCATGTCCTGAAGATTAGAAAAATGGTTTTAGATTGAAAAGTTATTAATGTTAGTTTTGGCTTGGGTATACATATTTCCCTTGATAAATAGCTGTTGTTTTTCATTCCAATTGCTGGTTATTTTCCTTATTGCTGCTGCTTCCTTGCAATTGTATAGCTGCTGCCTATACTGTTGTTCGCTGTGTTGTCTTCTTTTCTTAGCCGAAAATTCTTTTGGCTGCTGAGTCCTGCTACTTGCAGGCAATTCACATTACTGCAGCTATTGCTGAGTGCAGAATATATAAGAATACTTCTGATGTTCCGAATTTGCTACACAGAGAAATCAGATTGTTTTTTTTTTTTTTGTCCTGTAAGTGGGAAGACCCAAACTACCATCCTTCATGTGGAAAGAGTTTCTGACAGCCACGTTGAACTTTTTGCTTCTAAATTCAAATTCTTATATATTTACATATTTAACACCTAAGCTTTTAATTTTTTTACTTTTCCACGTGCCATAGCGATTAAGCAGCTTGGACGGCCTATGACTTCAAGGAAACCGCTGCTTTAAAGATGAGCAACATATAGTTTATACTTCATCTTGATTTAAAATGAATGGGATTCACAACCTCTGAAAGCTTATTTGTATGGAATGCTTATTATAATTTTTTTTGTGTCGTTTAATGGATCGTTTAATGGAATGCTTATAACCTACCAAGTGTGGAGCGGCTAGGACGGCCACGGAATTTTCTCTGAGAAGAGCTGTGCAACTGTTGCTTTCACACCTTGGTAGTTTGAGAAGTGCTTGCAATAGCAGAATATTGTACCTATTCCTGATGCTTCAGAGATCTTTTCTGTTTTTCTCAAGCAATGGTTATGATGCTTTACCCTCCAAATAGAACATATTAGTTTCTTACTTATTTAGGGGCAGCTCATCAAATGTCTTTGCAGAAAGTAAAATATCAAACTTTGGGGCAGCTCATCAAATGGCTTTGATTGATCCTTACACTAATATTAAAAGTTCTTTGCCATTCAGTTTTATGATATGAATTATGTTGTTGCAATAGTATTGGTGCCAAAATAATGGAGATTTCTGTTGGACAAATGGTGATGCTGATTGCCAATTTCACTCATCTTTTATTCTCAAGCTTTCCTCTTCTCATCTTGAAGTGGCTGGCATAGACGAAGGCCTGAAAATTATCAGGCAACCAATGCTTTTATTCTCTAATGAATTTCAGCATCGGAATCTCCATCTCTGTATAAAAAAGAAATATTAGCACAGGTTTTAAAGAAGTTTGATCTAATTTTATACATGATGGAGTCAACATGTGTTTAATTGAAGAGTACTCCGACATCCACACTATTTTTATTTATTTACATATCTAACAACTAAACTTCCATATTTACATCTGCACTTTCTTTATTTGCTCTATTTTTTTTACTCATATATATTCTCTTTTTGGTAATTGCAGGACGATGAGTTTCAAGTATTCAAGGAAGTCCGGGCAAGTGATGTGCCGTTGCGGACCGCCGTGCTTGTTACTCACGTCACGCCGGCAACATACTACGAACAACAGTACTATAGGTGCCCACGGTGGAGAAATAAACTGGACGTCTGCAGCTTCTTCAAGGGGGCAAACAGTCCGTCAGATTCAACGCTATCTCAATCGGACAATGTTGCACGGGGTTCGGCGGTATCACAATCCGAGAACATCACTTGTGGTTCGACTGTTTCTCGATCGGACAATGTTTCTCAGAGTTCGATTGTGCATCAACCGAACAACGGTGCTCATGACATGCTTCTTTTAATTTTTAAAATGAATTTTGTAATCCTATTATTAATTGTAATTTCAATATGAATTTTGGTTTCAATTAGGTATCTGAACTGTTAGATATGTAAAGATGTTAGATTTATCTGAATTCTTATTTATAGATGTTAGATATATAAATATGTATTTTGTATTTATTTTATAATTAAATAAAATTATTGAAATTATCATATATTTGTACTGTTATGGAATGATATTTTTTGTTCTGAACTATCAAATGTGTAGTCTTTAAAGTTCTAGTATAAACAACAGCACAACGCCTATAAAAATGATGTTTTATTCACAAAAAACTGCAAACCAGCTGTAAAAGTTTACGTTCGCTCAATGGTTGATTGTATTCTGTAGATTGGTGTAGTATTTGAATTCTCAATTTTTTGAATAAAAGTTTAGAAAAAAAATTCTTTAAATATCTACAATCAAGGTTTTACGGAAGATATCTTGAAAGTTTCATTGATTTTTTGTTTAATTTTCTCATCTAAAAAAGTAATAATAATAATTTTCTCAAATAAAACATTTCTAGCAAGTCTCTAATTAAGAAAATAAATTAAATTCAACACAATGTATGAATAAAACTTCATAAATGCATGATACTTGCAACGATATATTATAACTTCAATCAGTAGTTTATAACAATAATTAATATTTATATTTATAATTAGTGTGTATATATATATATATGTGTTGTACATATAGTATATATTCATATTAAATAATTTAAAAAATAAGATATGTCATTAGACAAGATGACCTCATAGAAATCCTTAAACTTTTATAAAATGCTTACAAAAAAATTTAGGAATAGATATTTAACATTTTTGTGAAGGTCAACTGCTCGAAAAAGAAATTATACGACAATAGACAAGTTGGCGACTCTTAAGAAATATAAAAAAAAAGATTAAAAAAATTATACCATATAAAATTATGTCAATTAATGTACTTCAATATCAATAATATTTTCTGATTACATGCACATATACTTTGGCATTTTTCTGTTAGTATCATAAATGAACGAACTTTATCATAGTCAATCATGCATATGCAAACATATTATATAATTCATATCATTCATATACTCTTTTTAATTCTATCTTCAAATAATGCATAATTTTAGGATTTCTAAAAATGTATATTCATTAAAAAGGCATGCATATAATTTTACATTCGTACCCTCTAAGTCAATAAATATGGGATCATTAACCAAAAATGGTTAAATATTCTTACTGTTCATTATTGATCTCTCACTATATCTTTCTTTTTCTACAAAGCTCTACTCATTATGTGTGTCTCCGGAATAATTTTGGATCAATATTATGGATTCTTTTTTTCGGACAATACAAAAAATTACTAGACACTGAGCAATATTTTTCTATATTTAAGTTGGCAACATATAAAATATACTCAAATTTTAGAAGTATATAATAGAAAAAATGAAAGAAAAACCAATAAGCCATCAACTTAATTCGTGTGGCATCGAATAATCATTCCACACAAACCGGATTATAAACCTTAATTAGGAAAGAACATCAAAATGAAGCTGAGAGGGCATAAACCATACTGGAGGCGGCCAATTAACCTGCGAATCCAAACAGAAAAAACTTTGGAAAGCACCGGTCTCCACGTCGAACAAAGCAGCATCACGCACATGCTGCCTCCAATATAAAAAATATCTCGACATCTCCGTAAAACAAACTGAGTTTTTTCTTAGTCAAGGCCTACCTGCAGGAGGAACCGAGAAAACATCATTGCAGCCAACAAATATTGCTTGATCGTTCAAATCACTCGCTTTAGCCGGAATCCACCCGTATGTTCCCCCGTCGCGTTGTTTCAACATGATCTGAATATCTGATGTCTCTGCCTTGATGATGAAAGAATCAAACTCCTCATCTTCATCCTCCCCCTCATCCAATGAATAGCCCCTCCCTCAGTCTTTGAACTTCCCTCTCGCCGTACTCATCTACTTTTCTACAGATCTGTAGCAGTTGACCAAATGAGAAGAAAATTGGCATGTTGAAGCCAATACAGACCGAGAGTGGTTTTCTATGGCTCCAACTTGCGAACCTT